TCCTGCCCTTAAAAATTATACTATAGATTATTCTCAACCTTCAACCCTTTTCTAAAAAAATGACAGAAGTATTCAATAAAGTATAAAAGATCTTAAAATGAAGTACATACTCTACTTCAACTTTCTTTATAGTTCATATTCATCTTGTAAAATTATTCAAGTAGCTGAGACCAACCCAGCTACTTCAAGTTAGTCTTTCCAGGCCCTGCTGTACAACACATTCAAATATTAAGGGTTTATTGACCCATGGGGTTTCCAGTTCTTTGAAAAGTTCTTTGTTAGGTAGAATTGAAGCAGTAAACTAAAAAAAAAGTGTAAAAATAATAGAATGTAATTATTTGGGAAACACCATGTGATATATAACATTGTTAATGTACTAAACAATTCAAAAGTGGTCTCTGTAACTATATCAGTGTGAATTTTTGGTTTGTTGGCATTGTGAAATGTTGTGGTGTGTGTTCAACAGCCAGTCAAGTACAAGTGGACTTATTGCACTATTGGTACATTGCAATAATATGTTCAAGAACTATTTTTTGGCTTTAGTTACATACTAGAGAAGTTTTGAGCTCTGACCAAAGAAAGAAGTAAGATTAATTTGTCAGAAATTTGATGTTAAATACTGTCAGTTTATACCTGATTTTGCTTGTTATTAAACTTAAGTTAGGAAAAGTTGAAATATACATAGGGGACTGTAAATGATGAAGAATTTGTTAGTGGTTTGTTCAGTGAAGCACACTCATTTATAATTTGTTTTAATGGTTTGTTTCATAATCTCTCTTTTTTCTTTTTTTTTATAGCTCGTGGCTATTAGTGAAAGTATGCTAGGAAAATGCAAATTCATTTCAGTGTGATGATTATCAACACATGTTCCAATTGGCTGCAAAGTATACACACAAAAAAGGAATAAAAGTGTTTTGAAAATTCTTCTTTTACTTGTATTTACTATGTGTCATTGCTAAAATTTTACCTATTTAATTTTTTTTGAGCTCCTATTCTAGTAATATCAATAAATTAGGTCCTTGAAAATGACAGTTTAACCATGGAAAGTCCTTGAATTTTTTTTTCGAATAGCCTTTGCAAATCATGTTTATTTTATAAATTTTCTGATCAAAAGTTATTTCTAATTGATGAGATATATCACTTTCAGAAGCTCAATCTATAGCAACATTTTGATAAATTTAGATTTTCAGTAGAGTCAGGCTTAAAATTATTTTTGTTTGCTGTAACCCTAAACAGATTTAAAATGTGGATGGGTAGTTAAATCTTTTTTTAAAAAACTGCTTGGCAGAACATTTTTTTGAAAAACCACTAGTTCTGTGATCACCTAAAACATAACGTGTTAAATCATGAATACAGTTACTATCAACATTTATTCAATGAAGATAATTAGCGAAATTTCAAATTCTTTTGCGACACACACTTGCTGGTTGATAGTTACCTCCATTCAACGAAGTGGAATTGACTGTTGCCAACAATTTCATAGTTTGTTCTTTTGTTTCATCTCATTTGCCAAGTAAATATACATGTACTTCTCTCCACATAGATAAGTTTCCAATCTGAATTAATATGTTTTTGATCCTAATCCTCAAGCCACGAGAACATTTTTTGGAAACAGATGCACTGAACAGACTTGTGTTTGCCATGTTGTTGATGTATGCTTGTCAATAGTAATTCTCCCCTGTAGTCCTGCTAGGTTGTGCATTTATTAGTTTACCATGAAGGGTCCTAGAGATGAGATAAGCCATGTTGCCAAACCTCAATGCATTGGCCAATCAGCATTGGCCTGTTGATTGGTAATGAGGTGATTCCCTCCCACATTGACATGGACTACATGAATTTCAAGGAAAAAATATTCTAACCACAATATGGCAATGAAAATTTTAAAGTTGACAAATTTTGTTAGATGGTTTGGTATGTTGGCAGAAATTAGGGAAAATATAAATTTTGTAGGTCATAATGTCAAAAAAATTTCTCAGTCGACCCCAATTTCAGATGATTGGTCAGGTTACAGCAAAGAGAAATATTTTTGAGCCTGGCCTAGACTTTGGTCATTTTAAAGATCTTTATGTTGACCAGTATTATTATAATAGGGCAGTGATTCCTAACCAGGGACCAGTGTTGATCTGTTGTTTCACTTTTACCAATTCATAAAAGTGAGTGATATGAAAAATATTTAAAAGGTGCAAGATTTATAAGTTTAACTATACCAAGGCTGTTGATTGAGGTGTTTTCCACATGGTTTTATGTAACTAATAAAAGTCAAAAAGATGTTTCATTATATCATAAGGTTATTTTAACATTTAGTACTCATCAACATAGTTATACTATAAATAAGTGTTAAAGAAAGACTGTTTGTTATATATGTGCTGGAAAAGATTATTACTTTCTCTACATCTGTGTTGTTCAATAGATTATAAATTGGTACTGTTAGCCAAGGTTCTAAAACACTAGGGTATGGATATACAGAAAAATCTGTTATTCGTATAATTAGTAGTACATTATAGAGCCATCTGTGATTTTATAATTTTTAAGATCTTAAGCTTTACAGTGACAGTAAATTACTATAGATGTGTTTCCCATGGATCAGGGAAACTGGGAAAAGTCAGTGAATTTTATGTTGTGCACTCCCGGCCTGAGAAACAACAAGGAATTTAATTTTACAGATAAAAATTAGGAAAATTCAGTGAATTTCTTGTGATTCATTGATGCTTCTAGTTCATGAATAGCTAAAACATAAATTAACATAGGCATCAAAAAGTTGCTTACAAGTTAATTCTGGCATATTTAGCATGTCAGTGTGTGTATTTTATGTATAAACCATTTTTGTTTACCATTAAGTTTTATGGAATGTTAAAGCAGCCATAACATATTACATAAACAATAGCTAGGTTCCCACCTGAATGAAATGAAAGAGTTCTAGACAAGTCTTCATTTTGTCTTTGTAAAACTAGGTCAGGTATCTGAAGAAGACAGACCACTATTGAAATATGTAGCATGCCCCCCCCCAAAAAAAAATCAATATAACCATTACATTATTCTTAAGTATTGTCTGTTAGTTTACTATTGTATTAGCATAATGTATTTCCATTCATAAGTATATTTGAGGTGATTGTGATATTGAAGAAGATACTGTTTTTTAACAATCTGAAGAGGAGATTATCAGTATGTTGCATCAGATTCTGACTTATTAAATTTACTCAATCAAAACAGATTTAATTAAAGTTTGCCAAAGGGACCTAAAGATGATTGTGCCAAAAATCAACTAATTTATCACATTTTTCTCGCTTGGATGAAAAAGTAGCTTCAGTTCTTGTGTCACCAGTGTACAATCATACTCAATCATGATGGGAATTATCATCTTTTTAACTACCTTCAAACTGCAAGTGAATGAACATCTTGTCATTGAACACATCCTTTTCACTTTGTTCAATTGGATGTGTAGCTCTTATCCAAGGATTGACATTTTTTCTTGGTGGGAGAATATGTGATGAATTAAAGTTAGCATTATTTCACCCTTCAAATGCAGGTATCTGTTGGCACAAAATCATTACCTGACATATATTTATATGGAAAGCAAGCAGAATATAGTTTACTCTGTATCAAACAGCTCTTAATCTCCAATGAAACTAGCTTTTAAAGGAGATTAAAAAGCTGTTTTAAACTGAAATAGAAAAACAGAAGAAAAAGACATTTCACAGTACTTTGGCATTTTAGATATTTGTTGTTTTTTTCCTCATTTGGTCTTTGCATTCTGAACAAATTCTGCACGTTTATATACGTTTTCCATAAATGTAATATCAGCTTCTAAAAGCCTATTAATTTTTTATAGTTCCTCTCGAAGGTGGTTAATAAATGGAAACACCTCTGTCAGTAAGACTACTACCCTGTCTATCTAAAAAGCAAGTTCTCATTTGTCTTTTTTATTGCACATCTACAAAATCAGTGCTTTTGAAACATGATGAAATTTAGATATATTACTTGCCATTTTAAGTTTTAGAACTTTTCCACCTTACCTAACCATCTTTGGTTCAATTCAAACACAGTTAATGGGATAATTATTTACCACACTTAGCATTTACATTGAGAAGTGTTCCTCGTGGGAGTACTGGCAAATCCCCTGGTTTTTTACTTTGTGGGAGAGATTTGAAGTTTCTTCTTGATTTGTAGTGCCAGGATGCTGTTGAGGAACAATCTGATACTTTACCCACAATTCAGTTCATTGTTAAAAAATGTTTGAGGCTGTTATTTGGATAAGGTCCATCCTTTCTATTATCATACTGTTACATACTTATTACATTACACACAAATAATGTGTGTTAGTAATAACTTGTGTGTTTACTACTTATGTTTTGTGCAATCATCTTTCCGAGCTTAAACTACAGTATATGATGTAACTCAAAAGTCACATAATTTAGGTGTGCAAGGTGTTTATTAGATTGTAACATAGAGTTTTGTTGATTATTGTAAATGTGTGACACTGTCATTTGCTGTGTTGCAGTTATAATTACTTAACTGTCAAGTTAGTTGATGAGTTTTTCCTTAGTAGTTTTATAATTAATACCACTTATGCAAGCAATACCATGAAGATGGGAATTTACTGTTGCCTGTTGGATTTACCACTCATCATGTGAATGTTACTTGTCCAGCATTTATGAATTGTCTTGCATATCTCATTTTATGTGTTAATAAACAGTTCCCAAGATGTTTGGTTATTGAGCTATTCAAACTTGTGGTAGATGACCTAGTTAACACATTATGGAATAAGATTGCCACTTGCTATCCTGAGATAAACTGTTTGTGCAGAATCCATTGCCAAACACTCAGTTTCAGCTTGTATATAGTAGTCTTAGACTACACATTTAATAAAATTATCAATTTGATAATGACATTTTTTTATCTATTTTTGCATATCTTTGAATGGTAGTGTATCAATAATTGTAGTTTCTTTTTCTACAAATAGTAGTTTGAATGTCACTCCAGTTTTGACTTTCTTTTTATAGGTATCCCATCTAATGTGCCATTTTAATTACTTTGTCTGCCCGATAGAGATTGATGAAAAATTGACAAGGGACTGTACACCTTCTGCCTTGTTTCAGCCAACAGAGTATAGTCTACCAATGCTACTCCAAGGAATATTCGACCTTGTAAGATTTCACTAGGTTTTTCTCAATAAATGTTGATATTCCATATAATAAAATTCAAATATAATTAATATGTCATCAATTTAAATTTTAAAAGTAATAGGCTCGTATTATTTACAGTGATACTTTTTACATATACTTTTTTTTTAAGCTTTGTATTTAATTTATAAAATTTCACAGTAATATTTAGCAAACAAGTAGGTTTTAGAATAGAAAAATTGAGAAACATCTTAAATAATGTTAAGTTTAATGGGAGTGATATTTGCAAACAACAAAAAATAGATTGAATTGTGAACAGCTTTACAGTGCAGTTGTTTCTAGCACTTAATACTCTAATGTTTCAGCCTATTTGAGTGGGCCATTGTTAGGCAATTTATGATTAACAACAATTGTAATTCAAAGTGTGATGGTTATTATTGGCCTATTGCCAAATTGATGAACTCTATGTAGATTATTAGCTAGAGTCTTCTTAATTCAGAAATCCTGAATAATTTTTTAACACCTGTAGGCTCATTTTAGTTTAAGATTCAAAGTCACAATGGGCAAAAAGTTGTGTGGGTTATTAGGGCTATCAAATGCTTAATTAGGTTGTGAATATTATTCCATTTCCATTAGGAGTGACGTAGATGTTTTTGTTTTTAACAATTCTTATTGAATCAATTGCTGTGTCACTATGAGGTTTTACTTCTATATTCATCACCTCCTTCATTTCTACTGCTCCAGTGCTTGGCTAACCTGCTTTTTCAAACTTTTTGGTGTAGGGTGGATCTGTGAAACCTCTATCTTGCAAAATTCCAAAAAATAAAAACGGTACAGTATAGATCCAATGTGGGCACAACCAGCTGAAAAGGTACAATATTATCCCTTGATGATTCTAATTGTAGATGGGTCTGATACAGAAGTACTACCACTAGTAGATGATGTTGATGGTTCTTCAATGAATGTAGACAAATCTGAATAACTGATCCATCAATAATACATTGTACTACTTCTGTGTTTTTAATGCACCTTTACTCTTATTAGTTGGCCAGGTAAAGGCCCATGGAAGGTATCTTTACATAAGGCAGTATTATAATCTCACTTATCATCCAAATGTTGCTTCATATAAGGTAAGGCTACTTTTAAGTTGAAACAAACCATACAGAAATGATTCGAGCTTGGAGAGAGATAGTTTTGGAAGACATATAGGATAATTTGTAATGGGAGAATAGGAAGACAGATTCATACTAACCCATTTCTTCTAGAATAAGGACTTTTTTTCAACAAAATCTGCAATCATATTGACAAGCTTAATTCTGTTTTTCATGGACTCGCCTAAATTTCTATCTATCTCAACATCACTATTACCACTAATAACCTTATCTAAGCAATAAATGAAAAGATCAGTAACTCTTTCAGACAGTAAAAATTACTTTTTCAGTCTTCAATGACACAACTCTATTACTCTTCTATACTTGGTAATTACCCTGTCTTCATTGCTGTCTTATGTACCACTGTTCATTGGTAAAGAGTAGCTCAAGTGGGTTGGTGGTGTTAACTAGCTGCCTCCGTTTCAGTCACTTCAAAATTAGGGATGGCTAGTACATATAGCCCTGAATAGCTTTGAGCAAAATTACAAAAAACAAACACATTCTGTATCATGCTGGATTTGACCAGGAGTTAAGTAAGAAAGCATTAGAGCCTCATAACTCATTCTTTTCCTTATCTTGATAATATCATGAAGCCATGATTAGAAATCATTAGATTAGCCATCTCAAACCATTCCATTAACTGATTGATTTCTGATGTGATATCCTCAGTTATGGTGGCAGTATGTTTTGTTCCAGCAGATGGGCCAATTGTATTGAGTACACATCCCTCTGAAAGTTTGAGGAAAATGAAATTGAGCAGGTAATGGACACTGTATGTTCTACGCTGAAACTCAAGAAGTGTAGATAGTATCCCAAGTAACTGTTATGTATTCAACAATTATTAAGGTTAAATCACTTATGCCACAACAGGAACTAGTTTTCTTCCAGCAGATGGGCCAATTGTATTGAGTACACATCCCTCTGAAAGTTTGAGGAAAATGAAATTGAACAGGTAATGGACACTGTATGTTCTACACTGAAACTCAAGAAGTGTAGATAGTATCCCAAGTAACTGTTATGTATTCAGTAGTATGTATTCAACAATTATTAAGGGTTAAATCACTTATGCCACAACAGGAACTAGTTTATGATGCAAGCAACTTACTGATGAGTTGAATGTCTTAAAACTATTATCCTTATTTTGTTGCCTTTGTTTTTTATTGTCTCCAAATATATTGAAAAAACTCGCCATCTCTCAGAAGCACAAGTTTGTTTTTAGCTTAATCCAAAATATAGAATGAGCTCTTCTAGTGTTTCTGTGTTTTGTATTTTGTACATATATTTCAATCTTATGCACAGGAATGAATTGGTATTTAGTCCACCTTAACCAGGCCACATCATCTTCAAAATTTAGGGATGACATGCTATGAAAATCAAGATGTGGGCCACTAATTGCCTCTTACAATACTTGTAGAAGTGGGTCTCTTAGTTCAGTGGCTACCTTGGTGTCAAGGACTTGAGCTACTTGAGGTCTGTCTTCAACTACAAATCAAGATATGGACCACTACTGACCTCTTGCAGTGCTTGTAGAAGTGGGTCTGTTACAGTGTTAAGGACTTGAGCTATGAGAGGCCTAACTTCAACCAAAACCACTACATCAAGAGGAAATACCTGTTCAAGAAGTAGTCAGGACAACAGTGGGCATCTTGAGGCCTAACAAGTGATAGTTGATCAAAACAGATAACCTGGCTTGTTCTGTAACACTTTCAAACCATTTGACTTTCAGTAAACAAGTCTGATGTCCATTTTATCCAAGGATAACATCCTATAATCTTACCCCTAGTCTCTGTTCTTCATCTATGTCATTGTCATCCTCATCAAAATGAACATTATCTACAATAATTCTTCTAGTGTAGGAAGTATTGCACCTGTTTCAAATGAAGGCTATTTCATTTGATATTATGATATCCAGGAAATAAGTTTGGATGATGTTTTTTTCACTCAGCAGATTCACCATCCCTACCAGTATCTACATTTCACCTGCTTAGACTGCTTACTTGTATAAAGCTGTTTATTTGCAAGTTGGGACAAGGCAGTGAGTCATCCTGATAGAATAGTGAATGATGAGTGTAGACACAGGTGCACAAGCTACCAATTTCACAGACTGTACTTATACAATAAAATGGGCAAGTCAGTATGAGAGTGCAGTGTAGCACTATAATAAACTGTGTTGGTTGTATTAAAAAATTAGAGCAGTTGTATGGTCTCAGACTGTGTAGTTGTTATGAGACTGGATGTATGAATAAACTCCCATTAAATACTGATTCTGATAGCACAGACTTGTCTAATATAATCTTATGAAACATAAAGGTATTTACAAATTAATTATCTTGTTTAGGAATTTATGTTTAATATGTAAAACACAAAATTGATTAAAAATATGCTATTAAAAGTCAGTATCAAACTATGCTGTAAATAAATGTGTACAGATCTTGCTTATTCTTACTTTTGAAATAGTTGCATTTTAGGTGTGATTCTTTATCATGATGGAGTAAAGAATTGTTTAAAAGAAATGATATAGTCTGACCTAAGTATCACCAGTATATTATATTATGTTTTCCTGTTAAATTAGTTTGACACTTGATATAAAAAAAGCCAGTTTGAAACATAATTCAGATATAAAGTAAATTAAAGAACAGCCTGTTTGTCATCCTAAAACTTGTCATCTGTTATTTAAAAGTTCCTTATCATTAATTATAATTGTATTATTTTTTGTAGCTAGGTCTTCCCAAGACAGTTATTTTATATCCATTTGTGCTGCATTCATTATCCCTGTCTCTCTTCAGTTCTATAATTGGCCCATTTGGAGGATTTTTTGCCAGTGGCTTTAAGCGTGCATTTAAACTAAAGGTACAATATTTCTATCTTACATACTAAATATGTAAAGTAAAGATAAAAGCATGTAAGTAATATTTTCATATAACTGGAATTTTTGACAGTTTCCAAATTGCTAAAATTCTTACTTTGGAGTATCAACAGGATTTTTATTATTATTATTGAAAAATATTTACACTACAACCCTTTGATATTTGTTCAATGTATGACACAATATCAGTAGCCATGGGAAACTTAAACACTATTTATTCTGTCATAAAACACTTTTAATAAAGGGTAAATAGTGAAAAATCTCAAGACAATATTTGCATGTAATGTACTTTGGTTTGAGGCTATAGTAAAGTGTATCTTCAACTCAAGTATAGATTGCTCATTTTTGTTTCATCTGTCTCAAACTTCTTTATTTTTGTATGTGATAGAGTACATCATGATTAAATAGTAAAATGTTTCTCAATATTAGGATTTTGGTGATATCATTCCAGGCCATGGAGGAATCATGGACAGGTTTGACTGTCAGTTTCTCATGGCAACATTTGTTAATGTCTACATTCACAGTTTTATCAGGTGGGATGATTTTATGGTTTTAAAAATGATGCATTTACATTTTATGATGTGTAAACTTTGGCTTTGTCTTTTTTGTATCACTTTTGTATTATTTATCTTTGATAGTTTGATGTCAGATCTGAAAGTTTTTTTTGACATTTTATAAGAAAAAGTAGATGTTTTTGTGTGACATATATTTAATCTCTGCTATATCTATCAGCTATGAAGTAAAATATGAAACAAAAATATTTTTAATAAATTCAATATGTATCATCAAGACACCTGTTACATCAGTGATAAATTGCTCTATATTTTGTCTGAGTATCATTATTTTGTTCCTTCTGAAAACTTAGGCAACTCCTTTTGTTTTAAAAACTTACTATATTGTTGATAGATAAAGAAAAACCCCCCACTATATATGTGTGTGTATATATATATATATATAATACTTGTTTGCATTATTACTGGTTTTCTAATCAGGTACACAGTAATAAAATTACTCTAAAACAGGATGATCCATCCTTTTCCTTATGTAAGGCTGGGCTTTAGAGGATGAAAGCATTGAGGATCTAAAATTTATTTGTAAATAGAAATGTTTTAATGCATAAACTTGAAATGAAATAGGTAATTCATAATGAATCTACAGGCTGGATAAATTCAGTTATGAAGGTGTCTGTTGGTCCATGCTGCTTTAGAATATTTAGATTGCTTTGTCACCGAAACTAAAATGAGGGTTATCCCAATTGAAATTATATTAACACAGAAACTAAAGAAATATCGAATCTAATAAAAAGCTATACTAGTCAGTTTATGCTGAGTAATAATAAAAGTTGACAGAAAATGTAAAAATAAAGATTAAGGATTTATTTCTTCAAATACATTAAGGGTAAGCAAAATGTTAGAATGGGAGTAGGGTCTTTGAGCGATGATACCAGAATGCTGATATCTGATGATTATGGGGTGACTGGGTTATCAAATTTTTCTATTTCTTCAGTTTTTACTAATGAAGATTTAAGTAGTATTCTTCACTCTGAATGGTAGTTAGGTGGAAACAAGACTGAACAAGATGATCACATTAATCTGAACTTGTTAACAAAAATTAAGAAGTTTAAAGAATAATAAAGCATGTGGGCCAGAATATTTACTCAAGGGGTTTAAAAGAGTTAAGGATTGGGCATATGAGCCACTTGCTATTATTTTTTCTAAGTCCTTGAATAGTGGGCAGTGCCAAAAGATTGGAAATTGTCCCATGTTACTCCTCTTTTTAAGGGAGGTAATAAAAATTGTCCCAGTAATTATAGACCTATTAGTGTTACATAGTGGTGGGAAAAGTTCTTAAGTCTGATGAAATATGCTTTGTAACCTCATTTAACAAAGTTTAAAATTTTGTTGGATAGTCAGCATGATTTCACTGAGGGGAAGATATTGCCTAACTAATCTTTAGACATTATTTGAAGAGGTTACTGCTTATGCAGTTGAGAGTACAAGTGTGGATGTGGTGTATCTGGATTTTTGGAAAGCATTTGACAAAGTGCCACATAAAAGGCTCGTCAAAAATGTTTTTTCTGTATGTGTGGAGGATAGGTTGGCTTATTGGATAGAAAACTGATTAGATGGAAGAAATAAGATGGTTGTTATAGATGAAGTTCAGTCACACTGGATTAATGCCACTAGTGAGGGTACCTAAGGGTTCATTATTAGGACCTTTGCTCTTTCTGATTTACATCAATCACATAGATTAATGAATGGTCAATTGATTATTTAAATTTGCTGATGATGTTAAAGTTTTGGGTGTTGCTGCCTTACAAAAGTATATGGATTATTTGGTAAGTTGGAGGAATATATAGCAGATTGCTTTTGATTATAATAAATGCAAAGTAATGTATGTGGGATTTCACAACATAAGTTATGAGTATAATTTTGATAGAAATAACCTTAACAGTGTTATGGAAGAAAAAGTCTTGATGTTCTGGTTGATCAGTTTCTTAAGCCATCCAAGTAATGTGCTGTTGCTAGTGGCAGGGCAAATATGACTTTAGATTGTATCTACAGAAATATTTAACAGAAGTTGAAAGAGGTTATAATGTTATTGTATAGATCTTTGATTAGACCACACTCGAAATGTTGTGTTCATTCTTGGGTTCCTTACCTCAGAAAGAACATTGAATTGTTGAAAAAGGTTTAGAGGAGGGCAGACTACTAGGGTAATACTTGGGATGTAAAGGTTATTCTATGAGAATAAGTTAATTTCTCCAAACTTGTTTTCTCTTGAAAAAAAAGAATTAATAATGTTGATGCATCATGTTTTTCATATTTAATGGTGAGAATGGTAAGACTAGGGGACACAAACATAAATTTTGGCAGGGAAAAAGTCATCTTCAGCCAAGACAACTTTTCTAACAGGGTGATTGACCTCTGGAATGGGTTACCTTTGTATGTGGTGGATGCAGTTAATTTAAGTGAGTTTAAGAGAAAGCTTGATAAATAAACATTTGAATGATAAAGGTTAGTTTGATGGGGATTTTTCTGTTTTTTAGGGTTTAATTTAATTTAGTGGATAGGATAACCTAGGTGGACCAAAAAGGTCCCTTGTTGCTTTTTATGTTTTGTTAATCAAAACCAAGCAGGAATTAAAATTACTACACTTATTTTTATGAAAATTAGTGCATAATTTCTAAATAAAGCTATACATTTTTGAAATATCTTTTATATTGGATCTTTAACTATGAAAACTATAAAAGTGTTGTGTAATAATATTAAACTGAAGAAAGCATGATTCAAATATTTGATATATCAACTAAATATCTCAAGTTAATTAGTTTTTTCTGTTATTCAGATATTAATTTCGTTTGTGTAATTGTAAAATATTGTATCCATTTTGTTAGCCTCTGCAACTTGTCATCACATGTAGTTAAGCCTTATAGAGATCAAAATATGTAATAGTTTTTAAGTACTTGATGTTTTATTTTCCCTATATTTACTAAATAATAACATGAAATGAAATATAAGCTTATCATTTGTTACATGAAAAAAAAAGTTTTCAGTTCCCTTTTATTTTATTTAACCCAATCACTTATATTGTTTGCCACACCTCTATGAAGAAATTATTGATTATTGTTAGATATACACCACAGTTTAAATTTAATGCAAGTGTTATGATTTAGATAATTTAAGTATAGTGCATGAATGTTAAATTTAGTATTTTTACAAGCGATAATTTATCACAGGTTTGTATACATAACTGTGTGAATCATAAGTTGTGTGGTTAAATTGTTGTGAATTGGCACTTGTTGTATTATTATGTCATGTTACTAGAAATTTTTAAGTTTTTCTTGTTGTTTTAATTGAGTGTTATTGCATCATAGTGTTGCATAGTGTGTAGAATATTTTAGGCCTCTGTTGGGCTATAAATACGCATCCAAAATGTACTTTGAGTTAGTTATATAGATAGATGGATCTAGACTGAGTAATTGTGAGTTTAGCCATAAGAGTGCATAGTGGCAACTTCTAAAGTGAATTATCACAGATTTTCTTGTAATAACAGAGTAGAGAAGAAACTATTTGCCTTGTCAATTGTGCTCTAAAGTAACTAAATCAGCCTGTGTGGAGTTTGATGAAAAGAGACAATTAGTTAAAGCTGTGGATACAACTGTGGTAATTAACTGTGTAATGAACATTTGTATATACATTTGATTTGTTTTAATATTTTTTTAAAAAAACAAGTGGACTCTGTGCTCTTTGTTTATTGTTAAAATTTATTTCCAACAAGTCACAGACATCGACTGTAAAGAATCCAGCCCACACATACATATAACACCTGACAATTATATATTTACTTGTATAGTTCAACTTAGTATTGTGATATATAAGCAAAATGCCAGTCACTTAAAACATAGGAGTATATGTCACAAAATAATCCTATGGAGTGGTCCTTCAGGAAAATTTTTAACTTGTAATTCAAGAATTAACCTTTTATGATAACTGATTCTTGGTTGGTCTGTACTTCTTAGATAATGGGTATTTTACTCAACCAAAAAGGAATCTCTTGTAGGAACATGTTATTCATCAAGATATAAGATTAAACTATTGACTAAAAAATATTTTTTGTTACAGTCATTTCAAATTCATTACATATGGTCTATAGGATAGATTAGTGTATGTAGTAAAAACACTCAAGTGTTTGTATTCTTCATTTTTTTTCCTAAAGAGCCCCTAGTTTACAAAAGCTACTACAGCAGGTGCACAACTGGAAAGCAGATGAGCAGCTGGAATTTTTTAATGCCCTGAAGGACTCTCTTATAGCTAAAGGATTACTCTAGTGACACCATGAACATGAGAATAACCTGTTTTGGGATGTAAGTCTATTATATCGGTAAGTTGGTGTTTCTAATAGCATCCATTATATTTTTAAATAATGTTTATACATAAATAATTAGAATAGTGTAAAAGAAATAACTAACTTTCATCTAAACAAAAGCACTCACCAAAGTAAAATACACTATAGCTTCATTTTGAAACTTGTTAATCTTTTATTGAAACTGTTGTTTATTTCAATGTTTGAACTACAGTTATGCATTATTTAGTCACAAAATAATGAGTATTTAAAAACTTCCAATCATTTACTACCAGGCTAACAACACACATCAAATACTGCTAATCCAAGATCTTTTAGAAGGAAGATTTACCTTCTAAAAGCATTCAGTTTATCAGGTTTCTTTGACAGTGATTTATCCACATAACTTTCCAACTCTCATATCTTTTTTAAGTATTGTAATAAAAGTGTTGTGTAAAGATAAAACTGCAATTAATAGGTTTTGTTAAAAGAATAAATAAATCCTAGATCTTCTGCTGTAAAATTAGTTTTTTAACTTGTGGGAAAAAAGGATTGCATGATCCATCTGTTAATATAACCACATTTTATTTCTTCTGTAAAAAACCTTTAAAAATCGAGATCATTTAGTTGACAAGTAATATTCTTTGTACGATGATTGAAAATTTGACCAACCTTGCAACTACCATTTAACCATATAATTATACATACTATAACTTTTAATGTAGTAAGTGTATCTTTATGAAATTTGAAAATATTTTATTAAACATTACAAGTCTTTTGTACACAAAAATTTGTTTTTTAATTATGAATTATTAATAAACATCTCTCTGTGGCTTCATGGAGAGTCTGACTAGTCTTAGAGATTTTCATGTTAATATTAAATATACTTTTTTCATCTTATAGTTTTCACATTTCCTTTGTGTAATCTCTTAAACTTCCTAAATGAACATCAAAAGTTTTTGTTTTGTTTTTTCAATAAAAATATATCTTGTCATTTTTTTTATTTTCCCTTATACTCTGTACAAGCTTAGTCTATTTGAATGACCTTATAACCACCACCAAAAATTACAATATGAATCTAAATTCCCTGTTTTTCTTTCTAGAGTTGACTGCTTATTGTTAAAGACAATTATACAGTTTTTATTCTTGCAGCCAAAGCTAATACAGCTCAAATCTCCAAGTCATTTAGACTTCTTGCTTTAATGCCTTTTAAATTATCACCAAAATATATTATCACAGTAGGGAAGATTTTTTACCAGCATATTCTGTCAGATTACAATATGCTGTGTTTATGAGACATGTTCATGCTATTGAGTATTCATTATTTAATTTTTCTTGTATAACCTAACAATTTTCTAAATTTTACAAATTTAGTTACTTTTTATAACAATAAATAGAAAATATGTATGAAATAAATTTAGTATTCATGAGTGGGTCTTCCATTTTTTCTTTCTCTCAAGATCTCGATGAAAGTTAATCCTATTTTTTGTATGGGTGTAGTTAGTACTTTACTTGATTTTTATTTATTTTAGATATGCAACTCAGAACACAAAATTTTTAACATAAAACAAAAAACAGTGTCCTAAAAACTACCATAATGCAATTGGCTTTTTAACTAAGCTGTATGTGTAGTAAAATGGTTTCCTTACCTGATCAAAGCAACCTCGAGGACAGCAGACTATGAAATTGCCACAGAATAACACAAAACTGACTGGGAGAATGAGCTAGCTTGTTCAAAAATTAGCAAATTTTTTCTATTTCTATTGGTTGTAAATAATCTAATAACAAATGTCATGGAGAACTATTCACATTTTTTAAAGGCAACATGAGCTATGTTGGGTTGGCATGTGAATTTCAGTTTACGGCATATAACACATTAAATCAAGAAGAATAGAAGCTATAAGTTTTCATTTTATCTTGGGGATGTTTAATGTATAAGCCTGTATGTCCTCAGAAACTTAAAAAATAATATGGTATGGAAAAAAATTTTAAAATGAGTAATTCAAAACAAAGAAGTGGCACATGATACATAAAAGTGAAGATTGAGAATTTAGTTTAAAATTTTCGTTTAAAATTAAGATACATATAATATTAAAAGTTGAATTATAAACTACTTTTAATGTCAAGTTTATTGACAGACATTGATAATAAAGTAATTTAATTAAATTTTGATTGTTACTCTGTAAAAAGGTCATGACGTGCACTTTGACCTTTTAGAGGGTTAAAGTATTTCAGTGTATATCTTTTACATTGAACATACATTTACTATTTTCTGATCATGGGGAGAGATATCTAAATAAAATATTGTGTTAATGATGTACAAGTATTACAGAGATGCAAACCTATTTGTAATTTGTAAGAAATGAAACATCTTACAACTGAAATGTTTTTGTATATTATGCAATAGGGAACAGTATCCATCTTGCATAACCATTCAAACCTGCTAAGTATCTTGTGATAATAGTTTAGTTGAGCACTGCAATATAAGGTGTATGTTTCTAGTTTTTAATAATAAATCTAAATTACTCTTTTTTTTTTTCTTTCTAGAATGGCTTCAAATTGTAACATGAAACTACATTAGTTTATCCTGAGTAGCTTTAAGCTGATAACAGTATACATCTATTTATAATCATATTTTATTGTTTTATTTTACTTTTTATTGCCCTTTGAACCACGTCTAACTACTATCCGTGGCATTATAAGTTGTAACTCACTTGGGGGCACATGCAGCTTACGTTATGCTTTCGAATTACATTATCTACGTGCTGCTTGTGTGCATGCCTCTTGAAGCACTTATTATATTATTATTATTTATTTTACCTTATCTAATCTTAACTAACATAAAAAGATCCCTATTTTTACATTTTAGTTACATTTATAACAATAACTAAAGAATAAATGTGAAAAACAAGAAATAAAGTACTTACCCAATCTTCTTTTTTTCTTGCTGTCAATTGTCGATTATACTCAAGTCTACATATTCTATACTAATGGTAGTAGTGCATTAAATAATTTTTATTTAATTAAATTATGCACCAAAGAACAAGACTAATAACATGCAAAAAGCAGACAATTTTCCTTAACTCTCAAAATTTTTCTGACTTTCTAACTCTACGACAAGAACAATTAGAAATTCATCCAATCTAGTCATTGGAATGAAGTTTATTTATACTCTGAGTGAAATCTGTTCAGAACACAGCATTATACAATATGCCATTTGATAGATGAAAACCTTGACTTTCTGTTGGTTATAGGTAATATATAATTAAACATAAAGAGAACTACTAACAAGAGAGGATGTGACAGGTAGGTGTGGCAGAAGGGGTGTAATTTTATATTTATAGCTATGTAACCAAACAGAATTGAAGTCTATCAAAATTATGGTTTGTTTGAAAAGTGATGCTTCTACAGAGAGTAATTTACATTTAATTTCATACTTTAAGGAGTGGTGGATAAAATAGAGAAGACAAGATGCCTAGAGAAAATGTCATGAGTGTCACATTGGGGAAAATTTGAGATCTTTTTTTAATATTACTTTGTAGAATTAGGAACTTAAAACTTATATACTATTAAAATATAGATTATTAGCTACTATTTTATGCTATACTAATTGGTGTAAGATACCTGAGGTGAAAGGGTTAATTCATCATTTGAGTATACTTAGTGTGAACATGCTTTTGGCCTTAATTTGGTTATTTTAAAGTTCAGTAAAGGATGCATTCTTCAAGACTATATAGGTTTATTTTGTTGTCTAAACCTAAGTGTAATTAGTGAATTTTCAAATGTTAATGCAAGTCCACACTTTCTGATGATTTTACAGAAACTATTTGCTCTAACTTTGTACAGGCTTAGAGACATTCTACAGATCAATTCAGAATGCCTTTCCTTTTGAAAATAAATTAGTAGACAGGTGCTTATTATCTGTTTATGAAATCCTTGTTTAATCTTTTGTATTTCAAATGTAATTCTAATTCTATCGAACATTTAATTATTGTATGCTGTCTGGAGTGCAGAAGGCATTATAGCAAGAAAGGATGAAGTTCTGGAAATAATTGTTTTTATCACCCTACATTATGCTTTATCAGGGGTGTACACGATAAAAAATACAACATATAAAAAAAGGCTAGAATAAGAGCAATTTTCATTGTTCTCTTGAATTCATGTTGTTGTTATTCTTTTCACATGTAAATAATATAGTTGTATGAACTATTAAGTTGAGCAAATGGTGCCTTTCACATCATACTTAATCATTATTTCATATATTTGGTTATTGTACTGTTACAGACTTGAAAACAAATGCACTTTATTCCTAGACGAGTTATTGCAATTAACATTACATGGGTAGATGCTCATGTAGCCCTCTGTACAATTAACATTACCTATTTAGATGGTCATGTTACTTGCTATTCAATTAGCATTATATAGCTAATTGCCCTTGTTACTCTCCATGCAATTAACATTATAGCTAGATACTCACGTCACCCTTTATGTAGTTAACATTGGACTGTTATATCACCCTCTGTATTCATGAAGCTTGTTTTACTTAAGGCAAACAAAATACATTCATTTTAAGACAGTGATCAGTAACTTGTTGTGGCAATTTTGTTAAATATTTAACATTTCATGACTAAAAGTAATTGCACTTGGAAAATATTAAAGATTAAAAATCCCTTCACAATTACTTAAATTGCAGTATACTTTTACAAATGAATTATTTTTCATTCATGGACATATAATTCTTTCGTATATATAGTTTGGATATTAATATATCATTGATTTTGTAAATAGTTTTGTATTATTTAACTTTTATATTTATTCATTTGAAATTTTACTTTGCAGAAATGATTGCTGTTATCAAGAGGATTAAAGACCTATTTTTATGTAAAAATATGGTATTAAGATTGTGTCTTAAAAGTGCAGTTTTGATTTGTAGTATTTCTGTTGTTGTAATGCTAGAAAAAAGAACAACCTGTCTGTAAACAAAGCCAGTGATACTAAATGTATATGGTAATTTTGTATTTCAGTGAAAAGCGGGATTAATTATGAATATGAGTTTGATAGGTTACTTTGAAATGAGGCTAGAAATTATCATATTGTTTTGTTTTTGCTGTTGTTGACACAAGTTCATATATAATCTGTTTCTTTTGTGTTTTTTTTCTATACTTCTAGAGTAAGCTACCTCTGTGAATAATATAGTGAAAGTTAAAGTGGAAAAAAAACAGTACTTACTTCTTTAAGTTATGAAGTTAAATTTCTAGTCAACAACAACAAAAAGAGAAAGAGAGATGACTTCTTATGAGTAGGATGTCTTGAATGTTGTCTTAGTATTAATAAGAGTATAGTCGAAAGTTGTGTCTTTAATTCTTGACAAAAATTGTGCATTTTGTATCAATTGGAGTAAATTCCGGTTGTTTTTATTATTTTACTGACTGCTGTTTTTGTTAAAAATCTAGCTAATCTCTTTCACTTCCATATATCTAGATAAACAACTCTCCCAGTGTCAGGTTTACTTTTAGATATACAATAAAAAAAAAACATTTTAATAATTCATTAGTTATTTGAGACTAGAAACTTGAAACCAGGGAGGTTTAAATGGAAATGTTCTTTCTTCAAAGTGATACAGGTTGTTTTATTTCCTATAATATTGCCCATGGAATGGAAGAGTTAAGAAATTGTAATTATTTCACCAAAATTAACTCCTTAAACCCTAGTGGATGCTAACAGTGTCTGGCTAAAATCCTGATTTACCTATTGGATGGGGACAGCGATCGATAACATTTATTTCTCTTTGGCTGAAAACTAATCCAGTCCATGTTATTATCCACAAAATTAAGAAAGTTGAAGTTTTATAAGGTATGGTAATGATTATTAGGAAACCATGAAAATAATTCCGGGAAAAAAAGTTACGGGTTTAATTAAAGTTAAATTTCTGAAATAAACTGAAAAATTAAATATGTAACCAGATTATTATAGAGTTTACATATGGTTATAATATTTCAAAAGGTGTTACACTGAGTAATTATATAATGAGGCAAAACACCTCATTTTAGTGTATTTATGCTATGTATTTTTATATATGGAGATGCTTTTATTACTAGAAGTAGGATATAAATTATTCCCTCAAATGAGTGATTAAGATTGCAAGGGGTTATAAAGAACATGCATTTGAACATAAAGAAAATGGCTTGTTGGGTACATTCTACAAATCAGTTAAAAAGTGAAACTGTTTATACATTATGATTTAATGTTTCTGTTATTAGCATTTTAATTGAGAACACATTTTTGTTTAGTAATGATTATATTAGAGGTGTGGTATTTTTAGCATATTTTTGTTATTAAAGGAGGTTGTTTGTTATAAGCACAAGATATCTTTAAAAGAAAAATAATGTGTTATATAATATTTTGGTTTCTTAGTGTAAATTCATAATGAAATTAAAATCAGTCAAGTCAGTTGAAGAGTTTAAGCATTTAGAGCAAAGACTGTTAAGAGGATGACTTGATTTACATGCTCTGGTGGTTGGGTTTGAGTTTTGATGTTTGGCATCTAACATCAAAACTGCTCATGATTGCTATGTTTTATAACATGTAATACACAAAAAATCTGTAATAATCCTCTTTTTTTTCAGTATCATTTATTATTCTATAATTTGTTTCATACAATTATAGGGTTAAATATTTTTTAAAAAACATCACATATTTTCCCTGTACCATCAATCAAAGCTCCTAAAACTCTTCCCTAATTCTTTCTCATGTCTGAATGGATGACAACAACAACATATTGACATGGTTTCAGTCACAAAACCAAGAAATCAATGTACAGTTTCTTTTTTCTTTATTTGCTTGTCCTTCTTTTATGTCTCAGTTTTTGGCTATTTCCATGACTCAAAATTCTTCCCTTAAATTTTGGACACCTATTCAGAAGAATATTTACCTATGTATTCAAACTTGTATATGTTATTCACATTCCAAAATCTAAATGATTCTTGCAGTATACAAGTTTCATATTTTAGCCATAAGTAATAGCAATAATGTGATACATATATGCTCCAAGAAATATTTTGTAACATTTAATAAGATGACATGTTATTGTTTACTTTTACAAAAGTCAAAATTTTGGAATTTTTATTCCACAGCAATTTAATGTGTAGTGTTTGGAAGTTATCTAACATAGATTTTGTTGTATAGAAAAACATCATCACTTTATGTTTTGATTGAAAAAGAGTTCAATGACCATATTGTCTTCAAAACCTTTAAAGTGTCTTCTTTTTAATTCAACAAACAGCCTTGTCCTCAAAACATTTAGAAAGGTCTACATCAAGTAGGTTTTCTGGTTTTTGCATTTATTATCTCTATATGTAGACAAGAAATTAACAAGAACTCAAATTTGAAGTTCTATAGCTAATTGTGGTTGTGTTTGTATAATTATTTCTTTTAAATTTTATTTGCAATTCAGGTTCTATTACTGTAACGTAAATGTAAAACTTGATTTCAGAATTAATGAAAGTTACTGCTCTAGTAAACTATAGTTTTGGTTATCATAAGAAGTATGTTCATAATTTTCCACTTTATAAAACTTAAATGTAAGAATTCTGTAATATGAACATGCTTTGTTACTATGTGTGGATATACCATGTTTTTAATGTTAAATATAAAGATGAGTTATAAATTTTCTTTACTACATTTTCTTATATGATAAAGGGTTGTGGTTATTAACAGGTAATTATTATTATCATTAACTATGTATGAATATCTGTATGTTTATTTTTTTATGTAACTAAATTAATATTTGACAATTATGTATTGATTTAATATGTAATTTCTATTTTTAGAAAATCAGCTGCAGCATCAGTTTATCCCAGTACAGTTTTGTTTTAAGTTATATATAATTATTTGTTTCAGATGTTATACAAGTACATAATATTTGTTTGAAAGAAATTAAAACTGTAGTTACTAGATGCAGGATGGTTTTTAACTACTGCCTTTAAATATGACCGTTTCTGGTAGAGTAAAAGCTGACTCCTTCACAAGACATCAGTTCTGGTATTTGTGATAAAGGATATATTCTGTGTTAAAATTGCCCTTTAAGTACTTTAAGTTATAACAATAGGTAGGCAACAATGATTTTTAAGCTTAAGGAAGAATTGTATTGATGGTGGAATATACTACATGTTTCGACCAATGTGCTGTCGAAACATATAGCATGTTCCACCATCTATAAAATTCTGCCTTAAGCTTATAAATCATTGTTTGCCTACCTAATATTATATAAGCATAATGTGCTTCCTTACTTAAGTAGTTTAAATTGTTAGCTTCTTAGATTCTATTTCCATATCACTATGTAATGTAAAAAAAAAGTCTTAAGTTGTATCCAAAATTGCTTAAATATTAGATTTATACAATCTTTTTCATCATCTTTCCACTTAAGTACATTGTTCTAATGGATCAAGGACACCTCCCTGTTTCACATCCTATTATGTGAGAATGAATGAGCCTTTTGGGTAATGTAGAAATATAAGTAAACTTAAACACCACAATTGTTGAATAATAATGAATTAAGCTTTTATACACAATGATTTATCTATAGATAATTTTAATCCTACGTTATAGACATTAAGTTTAATACTACATTGATAGTGAAGATTGAATTTTGCTTGAAATAGTCCTACAGGGCAATGTGTATGTGAAAGGAAGTAAGTATTTACAGTTGTAAGCTTATATTCTTAAATGTTTACAAGAGAAAGAAACTCTGGTCAAATAGTTATATGTCTGTCAGCAGAGTGCTTCATTATAAGAAATGATTAGCAAGATAGATGGTATAGCTTAAGAACAATGCAAGCTCTTGAAGATTTGAAGTACAAAGAAGAAAGTGATATCATACTTAAAGATTTTCTAAATAAAGACAAATGTAAATATTGCTATATATAAGTACATATATTATCCAGAAAGTCTTGCTTTGGCAGGACAAAATTTACTATTTAAAATTGAAATCTATATCGTATGTGCCTTTAATCAATTATCATACAGCTGTTTCTATAATCAAGTAAGTGTTTTGTTTTCAAATATCAAATTTTATAGTTTAATCAAACATGTAGCTAATTGTATATACAAAGAACCTGACTAGGAGGTATGTGTAGTGAATTAAGCTTAGAAAACATGCCCACATCTTTCTGGTCAATTAATAAATAGTAATTACTTAACATTTTTTTTTCATAAATAAGACAGTGTTTTATGTAAGTCCACTTACTATATAATGTTTGCTCAGTCTAAGTTTTATTAATTGAGAATCAGTGGTAGCAAAATCTCTATGTTTTTTAATACAGTTACTGCAATATAGTAAATTCTACAGACACTTTTACATAAACAGCTTTAATTTACAGAACTTTAGGAAATATGTTTTTAGACAGAACAAATATGAAACCTCTGGGCTTAAAAATCGTTTAAGAAAAATCACAAAATCTTTTTTAAAATATTTTAATAAAAAAGTTACCTTTTAGTTGCACCTGAATTATTATTGTACTCAATAAGTGATATGGGGTACTTTAAGAAAGACATTTTTAACATGAAATATATTTGTTTTTCATAACTAATAGTGTGCAAAAAATCTAGTGAAAATTTAAAATTGTTCACTTTCAGAAACTTGAGACCAAGTGTTATATTGCTATTAGCAAAGCCAAAATAATTTTTCTCTATAATGGTCAGAAAGAAAGATTGTTATTCAATTGCTATTTCCATGTTTATTGCTGAATTGACAAAGCCCTGTAATGTTTTAGACCATGTAATTTAAAAATATTTTGTATTGGAAACTTAAGCAAGTGTCATTCTTTACAAGTCTTTTTTTTTTTTTTAATAAACATTTCCACTAAAAGTGTATTCCTTTATCATGAATAATAAATTTTTTATACCTGGAATTTTGTAGATCAAAAAGTGGGTTAACTTGTATATCAGAGCCAATAATACAAATTATTTTGTTGTTGATATTGTACTTATAGCCTTAGTAGTTTTGCCATAAACAAACTGTTATTTTTGAATACCTGAATACTTAAAAATAACTTGAAGGATTAATAAGTTTAATTTGCTTATTTCAAACGTGGGTATGCAGAATGGGTACTAAAATTGTATTGTATATAGCACAAAAATCTGGATTAAGAAATGTTGGCTTATGTTCATTTAAATTAAGAATACTATAATCTTCAACTTATTGTCAAAAGCAAACATTTTCTTTTATGCTATTTGTTGGTGTGAAAATATAAGTATGGTCATAATTATTTAAGTTTAGTTTAAAATAGAAATAATAATTTCAGTTGTTAGTTATTATTTCTATATCCAGTTTGAAAGAAATAGATATGATTACCTTGAAATACTATTTGTAACTTTGTTATTCATAACTCAAAATAAATACAAAATCACCTTAGAAACTTTATTAAACAAACTTTTATTATGAAGAAATAAAAGAAAATTGCATAAGAAACTAAAAATTAAAAAAATTGAGCACTGGGAAAAAAAAAAAAGTACTTGTAAAAGTCTTTGAGGAGAATGTTTAGTGAGAAAATATAAATACCAACTCAAACAAATAGCATTATCCAAAGTAACAAAGAAATACATATGAATGAACATTATTCTGTATGAGGTGGGTGTGTTAAAAACCAAATGGTCAATTTGCCAGTTAGATATTACATAATTTATGTGGTTAAAGAATTATCACTGAATATGTAAACTATGACGTTTTTACTCATCTCCACATTAAAACTTTTTTTTTAGTTATTATAGTTATCTGCTTTTTACTTATGTCAAATCATCAATAAAAAAGGCAAGATATGAATTATTTGCTCTAAAAAACCTCAAGACCAATCAAGTGAGACTGATAAGGCTTTGTCCCTTCCTCATGAATTGCTTTGTATTTTGTTCTTCAGTGTCATATTTGTTCATCTTTCTCCTTCTCTCTTCCTTATTAGTTTCATATGAAAAACCTGCCTTCATCAGGCAGATACTGGACCAGTGCTTCTGGGATTGTTCGCACTGTGCTATGGTTGGTATATTGAATTAAATTCCTCACTCACATTCTTCCTTTGTTGATGCAGATAGATTACAGGGTTGAGTATGTAATATTAATCTAATTTTAAATATGCAAATCATCAAGTAACAAGAAAACCACAACCAACATACTCATGGTAGAAATGCATGTACAAGAACAACAGTTGGACATGGTTTGGCAATTCCTAGTGTGATGCCACCAAAAATGTATCACTTTTTGGAAGGGTATGTAATGGTCCTGTTTGGCACAAATTATTAATGTACTCAGATCATGATGTTGTGTACAGATCCAGGATTTAGAATTTCCAAGATATGGTTATCCCTTTTGTATAATGACACTGAGAAACAAAAGAATATGTCCAAATTCAGAGCACCAGGACCATCCAGTAAGAGACCTGCAACAAGTCATACTCCAGCTCTGATATGCACAGTGCAGCATCTTGCAACATGTGAGAATCCTCAAATACAAAAATCAAGAGCTTAAGCCATCCATGTATCTCAGCCAACAGTGTGCTACATAATCTGAAGGATTTTCATCTGTAAAATGAAGCCAATGGGGTATAAGTCCACCAAGATAAGCCTTCTAGTCATACGTCCTATTCAACTGCCACATACCTCAAGCAGTGGGAGAATGAATTTAGTATTTATACTGTTCCTTATGGATTGTACAAATGAGTTCTGGGAAAATGTTGTCTTCATACACTTGATGTATTATAGAAAGTAAGCAGGGAGGAGTGGTGCAATGAAAACTAGGCTATAGTGCTATTGTCAAGATGTACAGTCGTCAAATAGAGTGCATCTAGAGAGGCTCCAAAATCTTTTTAATATGCTGATATGCTGCATCATGGGCTGGGATATTGTTCTTCATCCATTTCTCTTCAGCTTTGATGAATGATTATTTCTATGTGTTATACGACTTGGTTAGTTGCATGTGCTTCTATTCTTTCAATTTAAATTTTACACTTCAAATACATCTTTGTTGGCGATATCACTACTACTGCCAAAACTGCAGCGGCTAACAACAGAGTTTTCTCTTAGGTTTGAAAGCATTTGAGGCACTTGAATGAATGAAGGAAATCAAGTTGCACAAGATTTATAGAGTGGTGATTGGTTAGAGTTCTGAAACAGTTGGTTGTTCAAAACACTAATGACACTTTGTTTTGAAATATTTTGCCTATGCACAAATGTATTTTGAATGTTTTCAGGCTCTCTAACGCCCATTTCTACTTCACACACAAGGCAGTGAAGACATTTATCAACATTCTAAAGTTATCCTTCATGGTGACTGAATTATGTATGAAAACAAAAGAATTTATTTTTGATGTTCTCAGTTTAATGTTTTGAAATTTATTGGCAGTATGAAGAAAAAACCGATTGTGTAATAGTCATCATAAAATTGATTACTTCTTATCTGTGGGTATTACTCCCGTGCCAGGTATCACAAAGACATGCAGAGAATGTCCGAATAAGACATCGATATTAAGTTGAACATTTATGTTCTCAACAGTAAAGTTTCTTCCTCATCCAATTTAATAGGTACACTGTTGTAATTTAGTTTGTGCTGTAATGGGTGTTGTCTTTGGTTTGGTACTTTTCTTTAATTGTTCTACAGTCGTGGGATTTCTAGGGTAAAAATTTAATGTTTCACACTGTACTTTATGTGAAAGCTTTCGGTACTACTTAAACTATTCTCAGGCAACAATAAAATCATAAAAATCAAACTGGTGTATTTACGTGTTTTACACTCACCAAAAAGAAACCTATTATTCTATATGTATTTGAAGAACTAGTAGCAATCCGCCACAATTTAATTCTTTGTATTGTTATCTGACACTGGGCAGCTTGTACATAATAAGTAGAGTTGTTTAAACATTTGTTTAACAACAAGTTAAAGCTTGGAATGGTCTATTCTTTCATTGGGATGTGTGTCTATGAAACCAGACTAGTTCCATGGAGATGTAAATATATAGATGACGTAAGAGAGATGCGTTTTAGAAATCTTGCCTTTAAATTTAAAATAATTATATATAAGAAAACATTTATGTTTTGTACATTTGGAACTGATTATGTTATGAGCCTGATGAATTAAATTACAAATTAAGTTCTTTTTAAAAATCCAGTAGGTAATAAACTGTCAAAATGAAAATGTTGGTTTATGATAACATTTAGTCTCCAAACTTCTTCCTAAGTTAACTATCTCGGTATCTAAGTGTTTACAGTTTGTTCTTCATTTATAAGTTTAATATTGTTATGTTGACTAATGACTATTCAAATCATTTTGAAATTCATAAACGTCAGATTTATTGTTTAAAAACTACAGTGTGTCATCAACACATCTTCTGTAGTATAAAGTTTTAAACTGTTCAGGACTTCTTTCTAATCTCCTTTTTTCGTGATAACTTAAAAACAAATTAGCAACCCTTAAACCCATAGACATTCCATTAAGTTCATAATGACAACCATTGAAAAAAATATATTTGGTAACAAATTATATTTGATGAAAACACTTTTCGTTTACCGTTAAAAACAACAGAATTTGGAAAAATTAAATTACTACTTAACTCAATTACTTCATTTGACATTTTGTGTTTAAACCAATAATATAAAGAGGTTCAAAAGCGTTGCTTAGACACTGGCACATGGGGCCCGTGTTCCACTACTATTTGAAAGCACCTCGAATCTATTAAGTACTTAGCGAGGCCACTGGATAGATTCGTCAAAAATTTGTTTGGAAACATTTTGACCCCCAGTGGCACAGCGGTATGTGTGCGGACTTATACCGCGAGAAACCGGGTTTCGATACCCATGGTGGGCAGTGCACAGATAGCCCTTTGTGTAGCTGTGTGCTTAATAACAAACAACAATTAGAAACATCTTTAGAAAACTCATACGTATTTGTCACTGTAAATTCCTTCATTAATTAGATGAGGTTCCAAAATCCCCACCAAGAAATCCTCTAATTTATATCTGAAAGTAACTATACACATGACACAATTGGTCTAATAGTCCAATTTGTGTGTGTATGTGTATATATATATATTTAGTTATTTATTGTATTTCTTTCATTGTGGAGATTTTTATTATGTATGGTGTTGTATAATTTAATAAGAAATTATGTATATAATCTCAATAATTGTAATTATTATTTTGAGACTACGTTTTCCTTAAAAACATTTCATTGGTTCATATTCGGAAGAGATATAATGAAGGTGTGTTGAAAAAATTTAGGTTTGTTGATTGACTTAAAACTTCAAAAAACTAGATTTCATGTTAATTTCTAAATGAGTGTGTACAATATGCTTTAGTTCCCAAGATTCTAAAGTTTAAATTTGCTAACTCCAACTTAAGATCTATTAAATATTATAGGTCTTCACAAAATTAATTCTAAAGTTAGAATTTACATTTAAACTGAATATACAAAAACAGTTGCAAAAGAGATGGATGAATGCTGTAGAAAATTTTAAAGTCTGAAATATAGATTTTATACATTCGTATAATGGGATTAAATTTCATAAAAATAAGAATGTGAATGAAATGAGATTAAAACAAAATTGCCCGGCTTGGCCAAGTGGTTAGGGAGCTCGACTCGCAATCTGCGGTTCGCGGGTTCGAATTCTCGTCCTACCAAACATGCTCGCCCTTTCAGCCGTGGGCTCGTTATAATGTAACAATCAATAAAAGAGTTGGCAGTGGGTGGTGATGACTAGCTGGCTTCCCTCTAGTCTTTCGCTGCAAAATTAGGAACGGCTAGTGCAGATAGCCCTCGTGTAGCTTTGCGTGAACTTCCAAACAAACCAAACCACATTATGGAATAGTTTCTGGGTTTCCTAAAATACTTAAATTGCCCTATTATACCAATTGTATCGGGTATAGGTAC